TTTTTTTTTTTTTTATCTATTTATCTATCTTTCTTTCCTTCTCGCTTATTATCATTTCATGCCAATTCGTACGATTTCGCTTCTAGCAAAGCCGAGTATTTTTTTTTTTTTAACGAAGATTAATTGTCCTTTGTCAGATGACATTTCAATATAATATAGTATCTATGATCTGATAAAAAATCGTTAAGTTATATCATTTGACGATTGATTGAAAGATAATAATAGTGAGTGGAATATTTGGCTCTGCTTCGTTTAGCAATATTCTTTTTCTCGTTTCTTACCCTCTTAACTCGACGACGCAACCCTTCGTTGACCGACTGACATTTAAAAACAGTAGTCTTTTCCCTCTATCACTTTTATTTGCTGCTGGTGCTGTCGTCTGGGCTGAAAAATTCATAAGCCTCGCGAGACCCGTGTTTACCTTTATCTCGTCGAATTTCAACTCGATCGTTACCGACTTTTAAAAAGGTCTCTCATTCAAAGGGGACCTTTTTACGTTGCGCGTAGAATGATTTGTATTTTGTTTTATAGCGATGCCCATGGAACCCGTAGGGTTCCCACAGATGGGCGTCGGTGTGCAGGGCGGTCTGCAGTTGGTCAGAGATCCATCCAGCGGTCATCTTCTTTTAATTCACGCAGCCGGTACGTTAATAGCTCATTTTATTTCTGATTTCTCCATTTGATTTCTCTTCCTTTTTTCTTTTTCTCTTTATTTTTATATGTTTTTCTTTTTTTTTTTTCAATATTTTTTCTTTGTCCTTTTATTATCATTTTTATGTCTCAAAAAATATATCTCAACGTGTACGCATAAGTCTCTCTGTAATATGTCAAACAAAATAAAACGAAGGGAAAGAAAAAATATGTGGGAAAAGAAAAGAAGACGAAAGAGGGGTAAGAAACGAATATGGTTTTTTGACAGAACAAATGCAGCAGGCTGTGGTCTGGCCGAATTATCCAAATCACAATGGCGGAAACGTAGCGCCTCCATCCCTTTTGTTACCACCGCCACCACCGTCCCTTCAACTTTTAAGCGACATAGGTGGTGCTAGATTGGTCCTTACCGAGAGTAAAAGGAAACAACAGAACACTTTACCTATCGTAAAGATCGAGGCGGATTGCGGTACAAGTCCGACAACCATAATCAGTAAGTTAGATCGATGTGATCTAGAAATACGTTAGAAAGGAAATTTCAAATAAGAACGCTTTATGTTAATCTTCTGTTGATCTATCTGTTCATTCAGAAACATTACGGCAACGACTGAAATCACAAGAATGCTCTAATCACGACCACAATACGAAAAACTAACCCCATGTTTCTTAATTCTTTGAAGCACTGAATTTTAGAAAAAAAAAAATGGCCCTTTGTTAGAAAATTTATAACACAGTAGATTTATTTTGGTTACCCCAGGATATTTTATGTAACATTAAATGAAGAATCGATATTTAATAATAATAGGTAAGAACACACAAAATTTTTCCATACTCCTGTACTTAAAATAAATCATTTGTCGAGGTAATATAGGAAATATCCTACAATGCACAAATTGACGATGAAATGTTGAAACTCTAGCATGCTTCAAAGAGTTAATATACGATAGTTGGTAGTTGGATAATCGTGGTAAACGCACCTTCGTCGATTTTTGCAGCATCGACGGAATCAACGAAGGCATTGCAGAGCGTGACATCGGTGACGGGTACTCTCGTGCCAGATGCACCGCTCGTAACGACTCTTCATTACTACCCACATGCACCAGCGTTGGTGCAGATTAGTCAAACGGAGCCTACGCATTGTAGGTCGCAGGTAGGTCGAACGTAGTTTCTCGTTAGACATTTTTCAAGGCGAGAACAAAAAATTATAATCATTTCCAAGGGCGTGCATAGAAAAGCGATCGTTTATCGATCGATATCTTGATTTCTTGAAGAACGACGAAGAGAGAAGGGGCAGGAACTCGTAATGCTAGGAATAATTATGCCACGCTCAGGGCGCGGTTCAGCAATTCGCATAACGTGGAAACGTTCTGGCACATTGTATTAATCATGCGCAAACCCGTCCACCGATTTGCATTGCTATCTGCATAGATATTGCGCTCGCTCCACCAGCACGCCACGCGCTACATAATATCCGTGTCTGCGCTGGAACGCGCTCTCTCCTCTCTCTCCAACTTGGATGCTGCTGCTGTTGCTGCTGCTGCTGCATCGTTCTTTTCTTTTCTTCCTCCCTTCTCGATCATTAACTTTCATTTTCCTACTTGTAACGTTAATAAAAGGAACAAATCAAATATCTACATTCGAGATTGAGAATTTTCTTCGAGTACTATTCTCGAACGAAATTTTAACTGCATACGTGTTCAAGTGTCCAAAAGAACATACAAGAATTGTCGAGTCTTCAAAAAACTTACGATCGATCATATATATATACGATTATGCTAGCAATCTCCCTTACTCTCTTTATCCGTTCAATCGCAGCAAAGCACGCCCGTATTTGACGATCGAAAATCCTGCGAAAAGCAGCGAAATGTGTTTATTTCGAAGGCAACCTCGCCGGTATCCTGTCTGACGCCACCACCAGAAGTTACGTCGATCCATGCAATCGAGCCACCACAGATGACACCGATGGTCGGTGTTCAGGATGCTTCGAATCAAACAGAAGCACCGGAAGCCGAACAGGAACAGGATGTACCAGCAATGGTACCAATGGAGACGCAGGTAAAACAGGAGCAGAATCTTAGTCCGTGTCAGCTTCAATGTGCGAGTACAGCGACGAATCTCACTACTACAACGACCACGACGAATTTGACGAATTTGACAAACTTCGAGATCGTCGCTGCGGCCCCGGAAAAGATGTGCAACGTCGTCAGGATAACAACGACAACGACTACGGTCAATCCGACCGTTTGCGGTATCGTTGGCAAAGTTGATAAAGCAGAAAACACGATCATCAATATGGCTGATTGTCCAAAATATTCAATCACGAGGGAGTGCAGAAGCGTTACGTCGATCGACAGAACTATCGAACGCGTCGTGAGTCGTCAAGATGATTTGGAACATGACGAGGAAGAAGATTCTAGGCAGGATCGATCAACAACGATCAACGACGATGACGATGGTTACGACAACGGCAAGTCACCTGCGATCTGCCGAGACGCAAGAACTGGCCCTAGGATAATTGAAATTACCGAGGAAAATTGTGACAGTTTTCACGAGAATTTGGAATTCTTTGCAAGGGGACGAGATCGTAGGAGAAGTTACGCGGTCGATACTACGCAGGAACAACCTCAACAGAGTCACGAAGAAGAGAAAAAAGTCCTTGTCGAAGAGGTAAGACCTTTCAGATATTTTATTCTTCTTTTTCTTTTTTTATAGTTTTGCATCTATTTTAAAATGATAAATATATTTATGGGACATCGATTTTCAATATAAAAAAATATTTTCCTTTTTCATAAATAAAAATGGACAAAGAAGTTACATCCTCTTCGAATCAGTAACAGACATCCTCCTCATCTTTTCTACAACTAGAAAGTAAATGAAATGATAAGTTTATTGATACGATCGTTAAATAATATTTTCGTTTTAGCCCGCGATTGATCGGATCGCTGAAGAATCAAGGGGTACAGTTATACATCAAGTTATTGCTAAGGTACCACCGGAAACGTCTTACTGCGACTCACAGAGGAAAGAGGAAATGTACGCGGATTCTAAAGTAATCGTCGTCGATTCGACGTCGAATAACGCGTCCCCCCAATCTATGACGATAACAACGACTACAACGACGATGACGACTACTATGACGACTATTGTTACGACTACTATGACGACTACGATGACGACTACGACGACGACAACTCCACAAACTATTGCAGATTGCGAGAGTTGCGGGAAAAATCGAGATAATATCCGTCCGCAAGTGGTCGTTCAGCAAAATTCCGAAGTGAAACCTCAGATCAGTGTGAAATCTTTCGATATGCCCAACATCGACTGTGACGATCAAGAAGTGGAAACGGTCGTGATCAAACAGGAAGCCGACGACGGTTCATTTGACGAACAAAATTCTAAATTCGATAATTCACCGACAATGGATAAGCCAAAGGATTCGACAAAGAGGCATTCGGTAGAAAGATCTCATCCAGGTATTGAGAACGTTGTTGAGAAATTGAAGAAAAATGCAGCTGCCGCTATGCAAGAATCGTCCTGTCCATTACAAAAGATCGATGAGTGTAAAGAACGTAACGGCGATAATTTACGTTCTAGAAGGCATCCGGAAACGATGCCGAGAAAGTTAGAAAATGGACTGAAGAAACACATATTGAGATCCTGTGAGAATGAACAATTGATGAATGAGAAACGTGAAAATTACGAAAGATCCGAGATCGAAGGATCTTCGGAAAAAGATTCTTGCAGTTTAGCTTGTAATCGAGATTACCTGCATAATGACAATAATAATGACAGTAGGAGTAACAATAACAATATTAAAAATATCAACGATAAAGAACATGTCAGTAGGAAAAGGTCAGCAGTGGATTCTATCGATTCCAGGGTCAAGTACAATACGCCGAAAGTAAACGCGAGTCTAGCGAAAAAGAGTCGTCTTCTTGATAGAACATCAAATGTCAATGAAGATGACGTTATTTTATCAGCTGCCATTGTCGACAATCAAAGTACGAAATTGAAATTGGCCATTTCGGCAAAACCAAAATTTAACGTCGATCTCAGCGGCTTAGAATTGCTCTCGAATAGCATCGAACAGTTGGAACATTTGAAACCCGAGGCACAGAATTGTTCGACTCCGGACCTCGAAGAAGGAAAAATGATATCACCTCCGGATGAGAGTAATAATAATCGACTGAATAGTCGGCTCAATTTGCTCTGTGCTTTGGCTGCCATGAGATTTAATGAAGAGGTCGAAGGAGATAAAGTGCCGACTAAGCCCAATATCGAAAGTTCCGAAGAAATATCTGGAGCTAGTAAGCTGCTGTTGAATCTTGGAAGGACAAGCTTCGAGAAGGAAAGAAGAAGATTGGATAAAAGAAAAAGTACCGAAGGTGACGATGAAAATTACGAAAAATCTAAACGATTCAAGACCGATGTTGTCTATGAAGAAAATGATACTAAAAATTCATCGGTCTATTATTACGAGCAAAGTGGTAAAAGTAGGAAACACGGAGCTAGATTGCAAGAAGACATGGTCTTCAGACTGAAAGAAAAATCAAGGAGAAGTATTGATCTCGACGATGAGGAAACTTCTTCCTTGGCTGATAGATTCGTACGAGAACGAGAATGCGTTCCTAAACTCGACAAGGACAATAACGATTTGAATTATGTTGAAAATAAGGAAAGCTTGGAACCTTACGAGCCTCAGTACGAAAGATTTTGCACTAACGATAGGTGTTACCGTGATGTTTCTAAAGAAAATACCTTGACAGATTCTGAAACTGAAAACGACAAGACAACTACTTCTTCTCCTACGAGATTAGAAGAAGATGAACTCGACGTAAATATGCAAAGGAGACGAGAATCTACAGAGGAAACAAACAGGGAAGCAAAATTAGATAGTAAAATAATCGCTGGTAAAAAAGTTAACTTGGAAGAAGACGGGGATTGGCCAAATATGGATGCTATGGAGTTGAATATGAGAGTTAGATTAGCTGATATCCAAAGACAATATAAAGAAAAACAAAAGGAACTTTCGAGGTTAACGCCGAAAAAAGAGGACAAGAGAAGTCCAGGTAGACCGAGAAAGAAGAGTCATTCTTCTAGGTAAAATATTTATTATATTTCATTGAAATAATATATATATATATGTGTGTGTGTGTATATATGATTGTATATATTTTTTTTTAGTTCCGAACATAGTATTCTCTCTTCTCCTCCCATTTTGGAACCAGTAGTCCCATGTCAAAAGTCTCCGTCACATTCTCCTGACGGAGCTCCACCGCCGTTAACGTCAGCAGTCTTGGCTATGCCAAGATGTAACGTGAATCTTGTGAAACTCGGCGAACCTCGAAGTCATATTAAACTTTTGGACAGTATACCTAGTATACCTATACCAGTACCACCGGTTGCTTCGCCTATCACGGTCTTACCTACTAGCAAGATACAATCAGAGGATGACGACAAGAGTACTGGAAGGGTAATTATTTTCTTGTCCTTTTAACAAGTCACCGCGTGAGATAATAGCGAATCTTATCTACAAGATTTGCTTCTAAGCAGGTTTCATTGTCGCTTTTGTTTTTTAGATGGAATATGATACATCTTCGCCAGCACCAACCATAGCAAGTTCAAGCTCAGCATCGAAAAAACGTAAATTTGGCCGTCCTAGAAAACTTATGTGCACATCCGGAAATACCAGACACTTTACAGAAACGATAGTAGCAAAAAAACCAAAAAGCAAAAGTTCCCTCGTGGGTTATTTGCTATCACCGAAAAATAGGCATCTTCAAACAAAGGTAAAATTACATCAAAACGATTTAGATTAATCGAAACAAATAAACGCGTAGTAGACAATCATATCTAATTTTCGTTGGACGTAAAACGTATTCCTCTCCCCGCAGTACATCGCCAAGTCTGGTTATACTCCCCTACCCTTTAAAACCGGAATGTTGTCCTTAAAAGCTTCTTCCAAGAATCACAAATCAGTCAAGGCGAAGACGAAACCCGCGAAACAAACTCCGCTGCACAATAAGAACGTCATCAGTTCGATTTTAGCGGAGAAGGCTAAACTTAGCCATGAAGTTAAGTTGGATAAACACAGCAGTAAGGTAAGACCAAAATTAAAAGCTGAGGCAAAAGTTAAAACCTGGGAAGACGACGAGAATACAGTAGTTGCAAATATATTGACGGATGCCATTAGCCAGGAAATTCTTGAGGTAATCACGTTCAGTATCATTATTACTATTATTATTATATGAAATAAACCCTTTGGTGATTTAAATCGGTTCAAATCGGTTCAAATCGGTTCAAATCGTAATTGTAAAAATACGAAATATAATCTTTCGGACAAATCTCTAAAGATATTCCGTGTTACAGGATAAAAATCTTGGCCAGTCGGAAGAGGCAGAGGAGGATGAAGAAGAAGAAGAAGAAGAGAAAGAGGAAGAGGAGGAGGAGGAGGAAGAAGAGGAAGAAGTAGAAGAGGAGGAGGAGGAAGAAATAGAAGAGGATAAGAATGAAGTGGAAGTTGAAGTGGAAGAAGAAGAGGAAGACGTAAAAGAGAAAGAAAAAGAGGTGGAGGTCGAGAGGGAAAAAGTGGAAAGAGAGGTGGAAAGGAATAGGCACGATAAATCGAGGAAGAGGAAACAAAAGTCTATCTCATCCTCGCCAGGTCGACATAAATCGAACGATCGCGATAAGAGGGAATCTAAACGTCGAAAATCTTCCGATTGTAAAGATTGTAAGGAATGTGCGAAGGTTGCTAAAGCAGAAAGAGCAGAAAGAGCAGAGAGAGCAGAAAGAGCAGAGAGAGCAGAGAGAGCAGAAAGAGCAGAAAGAGCAGAAAGAGCAGAAAGAGTAGAAAGCATTATTAATAGATGTAAGCTAACGTCGGCTCACTTGGCTATTGATCAACTAAGAGTTCTTCTGGCAATAGGTGGACTCTTTTATGCCGGTAGACTTAGTGCTGTTCAAGCTCCTGATATTTATGCTATTACTCTTGATGGCGAACGAGGCAATAGACCTCATATTCATTGCAGAGAAGAAATTTTAAGAGACTCGGTATGGTATTGTTTGATCTCGCAAATCTCATAATATTTGACTGTAAGTACTATAATTTTATAATAAATTGAAATATCGTTTTACTACAGATCGTAGAGGTATGTCCAAGTTCGACAAGAGAGTTACCACCGGGTACGAGACTTTGTGCTCATTGGAGCGATCAGTACAGATGTTTTTATCCGGGAACATCGGTTGAACCTACCGAACCAGATCCCGAACTTGACGAGAAATTTGTCAGCGTTGAATTTGATGACGGCGACAGCGGTAGAATCGCTTTGGACCACATCAGACTACTGCAACCTGATTATCCTGTTGTTGGTATGTAATGTTTCTTCATATTTTGACATTCTACTTTTTTGTTAATATAATCAAATTTATGCAAGTTTATGTTCCTTTGTGTAGTATATGATCCAAATCCTCTTTTATCTTTAAATAAACGTCGTCGACAGACCTCAGTGTCGATAGAAGATAAAAGATCGTCTGTTAATACTATATCTGGTACAACATCGAATATCAATAGTTTAACATCCACGGTTTCCTCGACAACTTCCTCCCTTGTTTCGTCTTCCAATGGGACGTCGTCCGTTGAACGACATAAAACCGATGATATCAGTGCTAAGGTATTGGATGATTATCGCGAACGTAAACGTTTGAAAAAGAGAAGAAAGGATAAATTGAAGAGACAGCACGAAGCTCAAAAAGGAAAAAAGAAACATAAGAGGCATAAGGGTTGTGAAGAACACAGAAAGCATAAGCACAGGAAACATAGGAAACACAAACACAAACATAGTCATCATTGCAACCACAGCGAAGGAAGTCAAATGAGGTTCGGTTTCTAAGTTTAATTACACAATGTATAAGCAATTCAAATAATAATGATATATTACTAATAAACTTTAATTAATCTAATATTTCGAACGTTTCTTAGCAGCGGGGAAAGTTGTTGCGGACAAAAAAGCGAAGACGAACCAAATAAAGAAGCTCCAGCTAAGATTGAAGAAGAAGAGGAAGAGGAGGAGGAGGAAGAGAAAGAAGAAGAGGAGGAAAGCGAAGAAATGGCTGTAGTTGAAGAAGAGCCAATCGACGAACCAGTTCAAGAACCAATTGCAGAAATAGTAAGAGAGGAGAAGAAAGAAAAGCCGAAAAAATCTCATAAAAAAGGGAAAGTACGAGAGAGACAGGAATCGGTTGAGAGTCGAAGTAAAATTGCTCCACTGTTGCCTGATGTACAATTATGGGGATGGTCTGGCAAAGGTTACAGGAGACCTGGTGCAAAAGGAAGAGCTAAGAAGCAATTTTTCCGAGCCATTCAAAGGGGAAACGAAACTATCCAGATTGGTGATAGTGCAGTTTTTCTTTCTCTTGGTGGAACAGATAGACCATACATTGGACGTATCAAATCTATGTGGGAAACATCGAGTTCTAATATGATAGTTAAAGTTAAGTGGTTTTATCATCCCGAAGAGACAGTAAGATGTCCGACCAATTTAAAATATCCGGTAAGAAACTTATTATCTTCCTATAGATAATACTAGATAAATATCGTAGATTACATTTGCTCATAGTCATTTTTCAAATATTTCGTGTATTATGAAATAGGGTGCTCTATTCGAATCACCTCATATGGATGAAAATGATGTACAAACTATTTCACACAAATGCGAAGTACTACCATTGGACGAATATACAGAAAAGATGGGAAAAGAACCTCACAGATATCAGACCAACTATGATAACAACGATACTTACTACTTGGCTGGATATTACGATCCCACCACGTACCTTTTACGTATGCAACCAGGGGTTGTTTGAGATCAGCTAAAGCTGACGATTAAGTTGACTGGTGTCACTTAATCGTAGTCAGCCAACAATTTTGCGAAATTCAATGAAAATAAGCTAATGTTTTTTAATAACAATTAATAACAAAGCTTTGTTCATCTTGTCGTTGGTGTTAAACGACAATGAGGAAAAAAAAACCACTGGATTTAGGAATCATGTTCCTAACACAGAAGTCATAATGCAATAAGGGATAGAATGCAATTGTTTTGCATTTCCATTGTACGCCTTCTTGGTATTTATTAATGAGAACGATGTTTAATAGAGTTCATTTTTACTATCTATAAACTTGCATAAAGAAGTCTAAAGAAGTCGTCTGCTGTGCAGAAGAATCTTTTGCGATATATCTTATTCATTAACATTGCGAATTGGATCCCGTTGCTATAGGCATCCAAAGAAGTGTATCATTGTTTCATGCAAGGCACAAGCGTTGTATTTGAAAAAGAAAAACAAAACTATTTTTCCCGTCATCTTTGCACACTATATTTGCAAGTTTTATCACAAAATATTCACGAAGTGCACACAAACTTGAACAAATTTAAACGAATTACAATAAACGAATTCGTATTATCCAATAGAAATGTCAAACTACGTATTGTTGCAATAAATGCTTTCTAATTTTTCTCTCTATAATCTTATTGAACATGATTGAAGAAAAAAAAATAATCTTGTTAAACAATCAACTAAATTTAACGATAAAAAGAAACTTATTAAATGCTATTCGAATAACATAATTATTTTATTTATCGTACATAAATACAAATGAGTCTCTTGTTAACTCCGATACTTGCTCAATGTGTTAGTTATTTATTATATTTAGTGTATTTTCTAAAGTATTTTGTGATAGCGCTCGCGCTTGCTCAAGATAAAGAATTTACGGACGTTATAAATACAATAATTTTATCTGTCCGAGATAATGTCCATTTTGAAGATATATTAAACAAAGATGGTTAATCCTTCTTTAGATCGTTTTAAACGATTTCATTGATAGAACAAATTAATAATGAAATATTTCAACTAATTTCTATACTTATGTGATGTATGTATGTGTATGTAATATACGTATATGCATTCACATTATATTACTGTATATGTGTTTGTATGAATATGTATATGTAGATACGTTAAAAAAAAAAAAAAAACAAGGTTGACCAAAGTGTAATTCACGAGTTTGGCAAAGCTTTATTCTGATAAACTCTTTTTTAGAATTCTAATAGATTCTTATCTTCGACAGTGTCATCGATCTAATACCACGTGTGAAAAAGAAAAGCATATTTGTATATAAGGGTGGGAATGATAATTCGTTTGAGATTACTCGATCTCATTTCCATCTTGGATAAATTTATATTAAAAAGGAACATATAAGATACGGGAGAAATCGATAAAAAAAAAAAAAGAAAGAAAAAAATTAATCGACATTAATGAAGAAGTTTGTGTCTTGTATTTCTTCGATAAAAAATGAATGTATTTACATACGTACGAAAAAAAAAACAAAAACAAAAACAAAAACAAAAAAAGAAAAAGATCCTTGTAGATATTTTTGTAGCCGATCTGATACTAACGGTCCTGATCACTTATCACTCATATTATAATAATAACGAAAAGAAAGTTGCAATAAACGAGTGACAGGGATGTTATAATGCAAATTGATTTTTCGTTAATTAATAAGAAATTTTCGCTCTTTTTTGTCTGTGTAAATATTGTATATAAATAATTCGACAGACGTTTAAATAATAATAATAATAATAATAATAATAATAATAATAAGATAAATATTAATTAATAAATAATATGTGTCGCGCTTGACACGACGATCATCTAAATAAATGAGAGACGCGATTTTGATGAGAATATTTCGAGGACGAGTGTATGTGTGTGTTGTGTTTTTTTGTGTATGTGTGTATGAAAGATATATATTAAAAGAAAAGAGCAAAAGACAAAAAGTAGAAGTCCTCAGTGGATCTAGTTGCCTGAAATAATACACATAGATAGAAATATATGCGCAAACAACAGTGGCTTCGCGAGTACGTGTGTTGCATACATTGAGTAGTGTAATCGAAAGAGAGAGAGAGAGAGAGAGAAAGAGGGAAAAAATTTTTAATTGTAAATATTATTGATTGAAAATGAATTAATCTAAGCTCAGGTGGATATCCTTTTTTTTCCGAATCTTGGCTTACATACAATTTTATGAGACACATACTCATTGAAAATGTCGACGATAAACCTGAAAGTGTCTGCTAATGTTAAACGAAAGCGTACTTAGAATTTAAGGGATAATAAATCTGTTCGTTCGTTCGTTCGTTCGTTCGTGTCGTTCCTACAAAAAGATAATATAGAAAGATAAAAAGAACAGGGATAAAGAGAGAAAGGAAGGAAGACAGACAGACAGACAGACATACAGAAGGAACGAAATAAAAAAAAAAAAATAAAAAAAAATCTATACAAAGAAAAAAAAAACTATTAACACACGAAGAATTTAAAACTGAGATTAATAAATGCTTTGCGATATTGCAAAAACGTGATTCTGTGATTCGATGCTTGAAAGGCGTTGTTGAGCTTGAGAATCGAAAGATAGGAAGAATTAATATGAGTGTGAGCAAAAGTATATGTGTGCGTATGTGTGTGTGTATGTGAGAAAGAAAGAAAAAATGATTAAAAATTAGAAACAAACGAAAAAATGGCTAAAAGGTGCTATCGCAATATTTGTTTGTATTTTTTTGCGCTCGAGTGTTACTGTTTCTGTTGACAGAGATTGACAAAGATGATGAAGATTTACAATTAGAGAAGAAAAAAAGAAAACGAGAGGAAAAGAAAGAAAGAAATGAAAAATAAAAATGATAGTAAGAGAGAAAGAAAGTTTACATTATACTTAAATATTAGGTTTTTATTCAAGGTATGCAAAAGCTTAAATATGCTTCCGTTATTATTGACTCCGAGTTGCAACTCGCGAGCACGCTACTACTACTACTACTACTACTACTACTAGTATTTCATCGCATATATATATTAGCTGTTTAGTGTTAAACAATGTTTTTTTTTTTATGGAGAGAGAAAGAAAGAGAGAGAGAGAGAGAAAAAAATGCAGATATATCATTTTTGTATTATCTAACAACAATCGCACCTGTAGAAGAAACGCGAGTTTCTTATTCATTCGAGGTGGACCAACGTCCATTATTACTTATTAATATTCATACATACATATATCTATCGTTATTTGTCATTGTATTGATGATATGACTTATTAATACTAATTACTATTTACTATTGTCCAATATACGTGATATCATTCTGCAGTGTGTGCGAAATGCTTGCCAGTTGCTTTTTTCCTTTTCTTTTTTCTTCTGCTTCTTCTCCTTCTCTTTTCATTAAATATTATTATTATTATTATCATCATTATTAGTTATTATTAATTATTATTATTATTATATGAATAAAATTATAATTATTATCATTATTATGTATAGTGCAATGATCGTTGTTCTTATCAACGTGTTGAGTCTTTCTAAGTTAAACGAACAAACAAAAGAGAAAAATAAATATTAAGCGTGAAAATGACCGTAAAAAGTACATAAACTATTATTGCGATTATTAAAGGGAACGCGCAAATAGAAAAATCATTTGATAATATACTTTTTCAATTCTCTCTCTGATTCGTACGTATATTTGTACAAGTTTGTTAGATGATTAAGCAAATTTTCTTTTTTTATACCTATATCATTATCAATGAAAATGTAGCGAAGATAAAAAGAAAGAAAGAACGAATGAATGAATGAATGTATGAATGAATGAGTAAACAAATGAGATAGAAAAAAAAATGAGAGACACATTTGCTAAGGGACAATTCCAAGAGCCTATCTTTACTCAATCTCGTGCGTAAAAGTAAAACAATGCTTTTACTATTATACATATTATATACTTAATTAATGCCTGTGAAGGTGTACGAACGAAAAAAGAAAAATAAGAAAACAACAAAAAAGAAATCAAAGAGAATGAATGAAAGAAAGAATAAACAGGAAGTGACAATTAGGTGTAAAATGTAATCGGATTATTGCGATCGATGCTGACGAATAATGGTACCATACTTTTAATTATCATCTCCATAGATTATCTTATTATTATGGGGACGTGTGTAAAACTACTACCTACTTTAAAAAGCGAGGCTAAACAAGCGTACGATTTAGTACAAACGAATAATAACACAATAATGTCGGTGAATTGTGTATATGAGTGTGTGTTAGAAAAGGTATTTACGTGTTTGTTTAGTATGTATGAATGTATGGTATGAAAGATTGAATGAAAGATGAAGAAAGACAGAGAGAAGGAGACAGAGAGAGAGAGAGAGAGAGAGAGAGAGAGAGAGAGAGAGAGAGAGAGAGAGTGAGACAGTAAAAAGAGAAAACAAAACGTGAAAGAAAAGATGAAGTACTTATGGCTAGGAAAACGTACATTTTTCATGTAAATAAATAAATAGTACAGCTGTACACTGTACATAAGATGAACAAAAAAGATGAAAAGAAAAGAGAGAGAAAAAACACTGAGTGAGACGAGTTCATATTATTTGTACGGTTACAAATTATAATCGTATAGTTTATCATTATTACGTTGGGTGACAAGAGGGGGCAAGAGAAAGGAAGGAAGGAAGGAAGGAAGGAAGGAAAAAGTGCAACGCAATGTTATTCAAAACTTACATTCTATGTATGTAAATATATCACCTACTTGGTCTTTTCCATTTTCGCGATACTTTTTGAAAATATTTTCCAAGAGTTATCCTTTAGCTGTGTACAGATTATATTATACTGAACGAAAGAAAGTGCAGGGAGGGAGGGAGGAAGGAAGAAAGTGTGTGTGAAAATGGTTGAATATAAAAACAGAATCGATTAGATTACTTTGAACGAGTATCATGCATCCGTATGCAAAATAAATATATATATATAATACATACATTTATGTGTCATTGTATACATACATTTATATATAGATGTATTCGTACATGTATATTACATAGTATTTTTCCATAAAAAGAAAGAGATGATGCAGAGTTGTTTAAGCTCTCAAGAGACAAAGACGGATAGAGTACAAGTGAAAAAATGATTAAAAAAAAATTCTTAAAGTATGTATGTGTGTATGTATGTATCAGATCGACTCAAATGATCGTAAGGATTTTCCACGAAATTTTTTCCGCTACTGTTCTCTACTTCTTCTTGGAAAATCCATGTTTTTTTTTGGTTTATATTTCATCTAAAAAGTAATACAAGAGAAATCAAGATACGGAATAAGAAAGTGTTTTTTTTTAAGAGAGAGAGAGAGAGAGAGAGAGAGAGAGAGAGATTGAAAACACGATTTATTTGTAGATTTGTAAATATGTACGTATGTATGTATGTACCGTAGAGAGACAATGAAGAAAAGAAATGTCGGTGTCTTCTTCGACGTTCGATAAAATAAGAATTTTTCATATTTTTTGACGAATTAAAAAAAGGGGGAGAGGATAAAAAAAAGATAAACGTTTTTCAACGAATTTGTAAATAAGAAAGGGTTGGTTTTGTCATATTTCAAATCGACAAGATGAGAATACATGCTTATATGTAGTATATATACATATATAATATTCTTGGTCCAACGTGAGAGAAAAGTTTGTAATATATGAATGAAAAAGTAGATCTCAATTGATATTGTCACATTGTACG